AACCATCGCGGTGCTTCAGCAATGCTTAGACCAACAGATTGAAAAAAAGGTGATGACTTGAAGCAAAATTCGGTGCCCTCAGCCAGTCTTTGATCCACCCGTGGCTTATTCTACCTAGAAACTCTTTCGGGATTTCTTTTCTGCCGGATGCCAAATTTTCTGCCAAATTTATGCCCGGAAATTTCAGGAATCCTGGAAACTACGCCGGAATCATGTGCAATGAAGCCAGCTGGAAAAAAACATGTATATGTATATCCGCCGACCCCGGTCGACCGCAAGGGGGAGCGCGTCAGGGAAGAGAGGTTGTGGACACCAAGAAATACAACAACGGGTCAGGGATCAGCAGCAGCAGCAAAAGCCTCTGCAGCAGCAGGAGGAAAAGGCAGCCAAAATTCATAGCAGCAGCAAGAGGAAAAAGTAACCAAAATCATCATTTTCTATGCGTTTTCGCTAGGCATTTACGGGGTGCAATTTTGGGGTTTCTCCGTCCTTCACTGCCATGGTGTTTTCCCATCCGGGTACCAGCAGCAGCAGCAGCAAAAGCTTCTGCAGCAGCAGGAGTAGGCAGCAGCAAGCAGCAGCCAGCACCAGCAGCAAAAGCCTCTGCAGCAGCAGGAGTAGGCAGCAGCAGGCCGCAGCCAGCACCAGCAGCCAGCAGCAGGCAGAAAAAAACATGAGGTTACAATGACAGTCCTAAAAACGGAGGGTCCTTGCCACTCAAAGTATATATCAATCCATCCGTCTTTCTTCCTATGCCACTATCTGTCTATCCAACAATCGATCTATCCATCTGTTTATCCAACTGTCTATCTACCTATCTGTCATCTATCTCTCTCTCTCTCTTTCTCTCTCTCTCCCTCTCTCTCTCTCTGTCCCTCTATCTATACATCTGTCCAACAATATCTATCCACCTGTTTATCAAGCTGTCTATCTACCTATCTATCAATCTATCTCTCTCTCTCTATCCCTCTATCTATCCATCAATCTATCATCTATTCACATGTCTACCTGTCTGTCTGTCTGTCTGTCTCTCTATCTATCCATCCATCCATCCATCCATCCGTCCATCCGTCCATCCATCCATCCATCCATCCCCATCCATCTATCCATCCATCCATCTCTCCCTCTCCTCTCTCTCTCTCTCTCTCTCCCTCTCCTCTCTCTCTCTCTCTCTCTCTTTGTCTCTCTCTCTCTCTCTCTCTCTCCCCACAGTCCCCCCCAAATAGAGGGGGGTCGGCGGCACCTGGGCGCTAGCCCATTCTATTAAGTCAAATACATGGCTTCGCTGCCGGTGAAGTGTTACAGTGTATATTTCTAAATTAAACCAAAATATTAAACCAGTAACCAGTCGGTGGGTTGGTTTAATTTCTTAAGGTAAGGAACATGAAAATTCGCCATCTATATGATCTTTCCGTGTGAATCACTCAGTTCCCATTGCCAGATCCCAAGGTAGTTGTCCTTGGCCTGAATATCACCTGCATCCTTGTCCTTACCCTCTGGTAAACGTTAACATAACTAACTATGGAAAATCATCATTTTTAATGGGAAAAAACACTATTTCTATGGCCATTTTCAATAGCTATGTTAGTTTACCAGAGGTACATCCAGCATCACAAAAAAAAATCCAATCTTCACCAGTGTGGTGATGGACTCAAAAAACGTTGCTCTTCTCCTGCTCCCAGTGAGCAGGTAAGCCCCGGAAGGTATCACCTCCGAGGCATCCCAGCAAAGTTTATCCTGAGGCTAAGCATGGTACAGCAGCTTGAAAATGCAAGGTGAAGCAACCATTTCGACCCTGACCGACCCTCATCACTGTGGCACCTCGAATTCCTTCTCCCATTCCTTCAGTTCTTTCTGTTCTTTCTCGAACTTTTCCTGTCGAGATTGGTGGTCAACCGTCAACCCCGGTCCACAAAAATAGGGTTCGGGTCACCTGGAAGATCCAACAGCAGCGAACGTTCGGGGACACAAAGGCATAATGCATACTAGTTTTTCTTTGTGATATCCCAGCTTCATTGGGTTTGAAGAGGAAACAGAGAAAAAAGAAAAGAGAGCGGGTAGTCATGGGGGGCGAGGTTGTGAAAGTCCTGATTTTGTTTTATTAGTCATTAAATTCATAATTATATCAGTCATTACATTAATCATTATATTAATCATTATAATATTCATTATATAAGTCATTAAATGAATAATTAGATTAATCATTATATTTATCATGATATGAATCATGATATTAATCATTATATTAATCATTATATATATATGTATAATCATTATATTAGTCATTCTATAAACCATTCAAAGAATCATTCAAATTAATCATTATAATTATCATTCTATGAACCATGTTAATAATCATTATATTAGTCAATAAATTAAAAATTATATCAGCCATCACATAAATGATTATAGTAATCATTTTATTAGTCATTATTTAAGTCATTAAATGAATCATGAAATGAATCATTATATTTATCGTGAAATGAATCATTATTTTAGTCGTTGTACAGAAAATTATACTAACCATTGAATTAACCATTAAATGAATCATCATATATATAATCATCATTTTAGTCATTATATAAATCATTATATTAGTCATTTTATTAATCATTATATTATTCATTATATTAGTCATTGAATTAATCTTTTTACTAGTCATGATATTCATCATTTTATTCATCATGATATGAATCATATTAGTCATTATATTAATCAGTATATTAATCATTCTATTAATCATTATACTAATTATTTTAATATTCATTATACTAGTCATTATATTTGTCATTACATTAATCATTATATTAATCATGTTATTAATCATGAAAATACATTTACAATCATTATATTAGTCATTATTTTAGCCATTTTATTTATTGTTACATTAATCATTATATTAATCATGATAATAATCATGTAACTAACCATGATATTAATCATTAAAATCATCATTATATTAACCATTATTTTAATCATTTCATTAATCATTCAATTAATCACTATATAAATATTATCATGATATTAGCCATTATATATTCCATTAAATTAGTCATAATATTCATCATTATGTTCATCATTATAATAGTTATTATTTTAATCATTATATTAATCATTATATTCAACATTATATTAATCATTTAATTAATCATTACATTACGCATTGTTTACATTTTTATCATCATTAAATTAGTCATTATATAAATCATTATATTAATCATTAAATTAATCATTATATTAATCATCATAATCATAATTATATTAATCATGAAATTAATCATTTTATTAATCATTTAATTAATCATTATAGTAATCATTATATTAGTCATTATTTAATTCATTAAATGAATCATTAGATAAATGATTGTATTTATCATTACATGAATCATGCTATTAATCATGAAATTAACCAGTATATTAATCATTATATTAGTCATTATATGATTCATTAAATGAATCATGAAATGAATCCTTATATTTGTCATTATATGAACCATTATAATAATCATTAAATTAATAACTATATTAGTCAGTGTATTAGTCATTATATTAATCATTTCATTAATCATTATATGAATCATGATTATAATCATGATATTGGTCATGTTATTAATCATTATAGCCGAAGGAAGTTTAGAAGTGAAACTTCCGACAATATGGACAGTTGAAAAGCAGAGGTGAGAAGAGTCAGAAGAGAAAAGATTTGAAGAAAGAAGATGCAGATGCGCGAAAAGGTAGGAAAGTCGCGAAACACTGTGTTTTTCCAATGATTTGTGGCTCCGGAGGGTCGAAAAGTAGGCTCGCTAAAGCGGCGGGTGCGGAGCCAGCTGGCCACAGGAGCGATGAAAAATTGCACGCCGTTGTGGCGCGAAGCACATTTCCAAGTCAAAATGTACAAAACACCTCAGCGTCGGACCACTTTTGGAAGTTGAGATGTCGAAAAAGTGCACGCCGTTGTGGCGCGAAGCACATTTCGAAGTCAAAATGTACAAAACACCGCAGCTCCGGACCACTTTTGGAAGTTGTGATGTCGAAAAAGTGCACGCCGTTGTGGCGCGAAGCACATTTCCAAGTCAAAATGTACAAAGCACACCAGTGTCGGACCACTTTTGGAAGTTGAGATGTTGAAAAAGTGCACGCCGTTGTGGCGCGAAGCACATTTCCAAGTCAAAATGTTAAAAACACTAGGGGTTCGGACCACTTTTGGAGGTTCAGATGTCGAAAAAGTGTCGAAAAAGTGCACGCAGTTGTGGCGCGAAGCACATTTCGAAGTCAAAAGTGTAAAAAACTGAGGGTTTTGAGCCTTTTTTGACGTGCTGATGTCGAAAAAGTAGACACTGATTAACTTAACTAACTTGACTAACTTGAGTAACTTCACTAACTTAACTACCCCAACTTCGACGACAACAGCAACAACAACAACAACTACTACTACTACTACTACTAGATAGATAGATAGATAGATAGATAGATAGATAGATAGATAGATACATAGATAGATAGATAGATAGATAGATAGATACATAGATACATAGATACATAGATAGATAGATAGATAGATAGATAGATAGATAGGTAGATAGGTAGATAGGTAGATAGGTAGATAGGTAATTAGATGAAAGAGAGAAAGAGAGAGATAGAAAGATCGATAGATAGATAGATACATAGAAGATAGGGTGGTAGGTAAGTAGATAGTCAGAGAAAGAGAGAGAGAAAGAGAGGAGACCTCAAGCACCTTTCGGTCCATCAGTGGCTTCGCTCTGCCATCCCTCATTCACAACAACCAAGCTCTCCTATAGGTTTCCTATTTTTGAAACTTCCGCCACCGCCTTGTGCGGTACTACTGGTAATCATTCTATGAACCATGATATTAATCATTATATTAATCATGAAATTCATAATTATAACAATGATTACATTGATCATTGTATTGATCATTATATTAGTCATTTTATGAACCATGATATGAATTATTAAATAAATCATGATATATATATATAATCATTATATTAGTCATGATATAAGTCATTAAATGAAGTTTGGTTTTCCATTGTTTTTTTTTGCAATTTGGCCTGGGGGGCGCAGGTGTGCAAATTGTAGAAACGCGCATTTTTTGAGAGGTACTGTGATGAAAGCATATACACATGAATGAAAAACATGCAAAAAAAATATGGAAAAACAAAAAAAAAAGTTCAGACCCATGGGCAAGGTCTGGGGAGAGGCCTGGCAGGGAACATGGGTCTGAACTTTTTGTTTTTTTTTGTTTTTTTTGTTTTTCCATTGTTTTTTGCAATTTGGCCAAAACCTCGAGAAACCCAAAAAAAAAAACAAAAAGTTCAGACCCATGGGCAAGGTCTGGGGAGAGGCCTGGCTGGGGACATGGGTCTGAACTTTTTGTTTTTTTTAGTTTTTCCATGGTTTTTTGCAATTTGGCCAAACCTCGAGAAAACAAAAAGAACCAAAAAAAACAAAAAGTTCAGACCCATGGGCAAGGTCTGGGGAGAGGCCTGGCTGGGGACATGGGTCTGAACTTTTTGTTTTTTTTAGGTTTTTCCATTGTATTTTGCAGTTTGGCCAAAACCTCGAGAAAACCAAAAAAAAAAGTTCAGACCCATGGTCAAGGTCTGGGGAGAGGCCTGGCAGGGGACATGGGTCTGATTTTTTTCCATGGTTTTTTGCATGTGTTTCATGTGAAGATGCTTTCATCACAGTACCTCTCAAAAAATGCGCGTTTCTACAATTTGCACACCTGCGCCCCCCATGAGTACCCCTTCTGAAAGAAAACGATTGGCGATTGGTCTCGTATGTGTTCTAAACATGGTCTTTTTCTTCAAACCTCCATTCTTAACATCCCCACTTTCGTTGGAAAAACAAATTTTAAAAGAAACAAGATGGAAACCACGAACCCGAATGTATTCACCTTCTTGGACTACGAGCGCAAACCTCTGCAATAGGAAAACGAACCTTTTTTTCCATGCATCGTGCGCTCATATCGTCTCAGCGAAGGCACCTGATCAACAGTTCACAAAGAGACAACTAACTCACAAAGAGACACACAATAAGACACGCATGGAAAACATCGCTTGAAGACAGTATGGCGACGACACTCTTGGAAACACTCCTTGAAGACAGACACTCTTGGAAAAAACTCTTGTGAGACATTGTGAGACACTATTGGCAGACACTCCTGCAAGACACTCTTCGAAGACACTCTTGGCAGACACTCCCCCTTCAAAGACAGAAAAAAACGCAACAAAAACGCCAGCGCAACAAAATCAGCAGCCCAACACAACGCAATCACCAACGCAACAGAGCCAACAGCGCAACAAATCACCTGCTGAAAACACAGTCGCCAACGCAAGCAACATCACCAGCGCAACAAAATCACCAGCACAACAACATCACCAGCGCAACGAAATCACCAGCCCAAACAAATCACTAGCCCAAACAAAATCACCAGCGCAAACAAAATCACCAGCGCAAAGAAAATCACCAGCAAAAAAAAAACAGCGAAACAAAATCACCAGCGCAATGAAATCACCAGCACAACAACATCACCAGCGCAGTGAAATCACAACGAAATCACCAGCGCAACGAAATCACCAGCGCAACAAAATCACCAGCACAACAACATCACCAGCGCGGCGCAACGAAATAACCAGCACGACGAAAGCACCAGCGATCATCACCAGCGCAACAAAATCACCAGCACAACGAAATCACCAGCACAACGAAAATCACCAGCACAACGAAATCACCAGCACAACAACATCACCAGCGCAACGAAATCACCAGCACAACGAAATCACCAGCGAACAGCACCAGCACAACAAAAATCACAAGCACGAACGAAATCACCAGCACAACAACATCACCAGCACAACAACATCACCAGCAGCGCAATGAAATCACAACGAAATCACCAGCGCAACACAACGAAATCAACAGCACAACGAAAGCACCAGCGCAGCCGTCAAATGCAAAACAGAATAGAATTGCGCACAATAGCGCCGAAAAGCAGCTCCAAAAACTGGATTTCGACATCCAAGCTCCAACAACGCAATTGCAACGTTTTTTAATTAGAGTTTTAAAAGGAAAATGAAAGCCGTCAAAATGAGAGAAATTGACACGTGAACTCCATTCGCGTTGCAATTACAGTGAGATTGACGACGAACACTTGCAAAACACGATATAACTACGCACGCACGTGACATCCAGGAGCACCTGTAGACAGCCCTTACAATGCGATGACCAGCCATCATGTGCAAAACACAAAAAATCTGCGCACGCAAATGACATCCAGGAGCACTTGGAAACAGCTCTTACAATGCGACTACCAGCCGTCACGTGCAAAACACAAAAGAACTGCGGAGGCAAACAAAACGCAATCGCAGGGACTGGAAATGCTGCAAAAGCATTGCGCCTGCCACACTCCACACTTGACACTCCACACTCCTTACTTTACACTCCTCACTCCACACTTTACACTCCACACTTTACACTCCACACTTTACATTCTACACTCGACACTCCACACTGTACACTCCGCACTCCGCACTCCTCACTCCACACTTTACACTCCTCACTCCACACTCCACACTCCACACTCCACACTCTACACTCCACACTCCACACTTTACACTCCTCACTCCACACTCCACACTCCACACTCCACACTTTACACTCCACACTTTACACTCCACACTCCACACTCTACACTTTACACTCTACACTCCGCACTCGTACTACAAAACTTGCACAAACTGCTTCCCAACACTTCGTACTACAGAGCTTGCACGAACGGCTTCCCAGTACTACTTCGTACTACAAAGCTTGCACGAACCACTTCCCAGTACTACTTCGTACTACAAAGCTTGCACGAACCGCTTCCCAGTACTACTTCGTACTACAAAGCTTGCACGAACCGCTTCCCAGTACTACTTCGTGCTACAAAGCTTGAACGAACCACTTCCCAGTACTACCTCATACTACAAAGCTTGCACGAACCGCTTCCCAGTGCTACTTCTTCGTGCTACAAAGCTTGCACGAACCGCTTCCCAGTACTACTTCGTAATTACTACAATGCTTGCACGAACCGCTTCCCAGTAATACTTTCTACGAACCACTTCCCAGTACTACTTCGTACTACAAAGCTTGCACGAACCGCTTCCCAGTACTACTTCGTACTGCAAAGCTTGCACGAACCGCTTCCCAGTACTACTTCGTGCTACAAAGCTTGCGCAAACCGCTTCCCAGTACTACTTCGTGCTACAAAGCTTGCACGAACCTCTTCCCAGTACTACTTCGTACTACAAAGCTTGCACGAACCGCTTCCCAGTACTACTCCGTGCTACAAAGCTTGCACGAACCGCTTCCCAGTACTACTTCGTAATTACTACAATGCTTGCACGAACCGCTTCCCAGTAATACGTCGTACTACGAACCACTTCCCAGTACTACTTCGTACTACAAAGCTTGCACGAACCGCTTCCCAGTACTACTTCGTGCTACAAAGCTTGCACGAACCGCTTCCCAGTACGTCTCCATTCTACTTCTTTATTGAAACTTCCCCCCCCTGCGTTCCACCATACAATGGTCTCCATTCTACTTCTTTATTTCAACTTCCCCCCCCTGCGTTCCACTATACAATGGTCTCCATTCTCCTTTTTTATTTACACTTTCCCTCCCTGGTTTCCACCATACAATGGTCTCCATTCTACTTCTTTATTCAAACTTCCCCCCCCCTTGCGTTCCACCAAACAATGGTCTCCATTCTACTTCTTTATTTAAACTTCCCCCCCTGCGTTCCACCATACAGCGCTCTACTTTCTACTTCTTTATTTAAACTTCCCCCCCCCTGCGTTCCACCAAACCTTGGTCTCCATTCCACTTCGTTATTCAAACTTCCCCCCCCTGCGTTCCACCATACCATGGTCTCCATTCTACTTCTTTATTTCAACTTCCCCCCCCCTGCGTTCCACCATACAATGGTCTCCATTCTATTTCTTTATTTAAACTTCCCCCCCCGTGCGTTCCACCATACAATGGTCTCCATTCTACTTCTTTATTTAAACTTCCCCCCCTGCGTTCCACCAAACAATGGTCTCCATTCTACTTCTTATTTAAACTTCCCCCCCCCCGCGTTCCACCATACCATGGTCTCCATTCTACTCTTTTTAAAAACTTCTCCCTTTCTCCCCTGCGTTGAACCATACACTGGTCTCTCCTCTCCCCTCTTTCTGCACTTAAACTTTCCACCCCTGCGTTCCACCATACAATGGATTCCATTCTACTTCTTTATTAAACTTCCCCCCCTGCGTTCCACCATACAATGGTCTCCCTTCTACTTCTTTATTTAAACTTTCCCCCCCTGCGTTCCACCATACAATGGATTCCATTCTACTTCTTTATTTAAACTTCCCCCCCTGCGTTCCACCATACAATGGTCTCCATTTTCCTTCTTTGTTTCAATTTCCCTCCCTGCGTTCCACCATACAATGGTCTCCGTTCTACTTCTTTATTTAAACTTCCCCCCCCCTACGTTCCACCATACAATGGTCTTCAATCTACTTCTTTATTTCAACTTCCCCCCCTGCGTTCCACCATACAATGGTCTCCATGGTCTCCATCCATTTCTTTTCTTTATTTAAACTTCTGCATTCCACCATACAATAGTCTCCATGGTCTCCATTCTACTTCTGTATTTAAACTTTCCCCGCGAGTTTGTCTGTGTATAACTTTCTTTGTAATCCTCAGTGTTTTGACGGGGCTTGTGAATATATTTTAAATTACATCTCAAGCCTGCCATTTCCCGCTTTCGCAAGTCTTCCAATCCCCTTGAGGTAGTCTGCGCAGCCAACCCATCTGAAAAGGCAGCGGCCACATGTCTTCCAAAGTCAGAAAATTCAGCGTCTGCAAATACATTTCCACAACACGGCAGGAAACAGATGCACAGAATTACACGATTCTTGGTTTACCGTTGCCACGTCATCTGAATCCTTGCTTGTCAACTAGCTTGGATTGCGCAAAAATGTGTAGCAAGGCGAAAGGGGTTGGATTTTAAATAAGAAGTACACATCGAGACTTGAGACATGTGTAGCAAGGCGAAAAGAGGTGGATTTTAGATAAGAAGTACACATCGGGACTTGACACATGCGTAGCAAGGCGAAGGTGGTAGAGTTGAGATAACATATCTACCGCACGAGGCGGTGGCGGAAGTTTCCAAAGATAAGAAACCTATAGGAGTGAAGTGCGAAATTCAATTCATGTCAGAGTCAACTGATTTGAAATTCAATCGATTTGAATTTCAATTGATTTCGGATTCAAATGATTTGACTTTCAATTTATTTCAGATTGAATTGATTTGAGATTCAACTGATTTGAGATTCAACTGATTTGAAATTCAATTGATTTGGGATTCAATTGATTTGAAATCCACTTGATTTGAGATTCAATTGATTTGAGACTCAACTATTGATTTCAACTTCAATTGATTTGAGATTCAAGTGGTTTGAAAGTCAATTGGTTTGAAACTTAATTTCACATTCAAGATGAAAGCTTGAAAGCGAAGCTTTTCTGCGAGATTTCCTTCAAAAATGGAGCTTCAAAGCCAAAAAAAAAAAACTTTTCTGCAAGACTTCCTTCAAAAATCGAGCTTCGAAGCTCGAAAACAAAGCTTTTCTGCGAGACTTCCTTCAAAAATGGATCTTCGAAGCTCTAAAACAAAGCTTTTCTGCGAGACGCGATACTTCCTTCAAAAATGGAGCTTCGAAACTCAAAACAAAGCTTTTCTGCGAGACTTCCTTCAAAAATGGAGCTTCGGGCACGAATAGGGTCACAAGCGACCACAAAGGGGACACAGTTACTTTATGTGACAGGCGTGGGACTCCAAGCACACTTGGTCACTTGCGACCCTATTTTTTTATGTGTTTTCATGGTTCCAAACGTGGAAACAGAATAGGGTCACAAGCGACCAACGTACCAATGCCACGCGTGCCACGCAAAACGACAAGACGACCTGCGTGGAAACGTTCAAAAAGCAGAGGTTTTGCAGCTTCCCCCACGCCAAACGACATGACAACCTGCTTGGAAACCTTCGAAAAGGAGAGGTTTTGCAGCTTCCCCTATAGACACGGCGACACCACAGGAAAACTAGAGACTCGAGACGAGACACGTGGGCGCAGCAAAACGAGCATTTCGTGCGAGACATCCTCCAATTTTGACACTTTTGACACGTTGTCAAACAGGCTGGAATGTCACAAAGTGCCACGCCTGCCACGCAAAACGACAGGACGACCTGCATGGAAACGTTCAAAAAGCCGAGGTTTTGCAGCTTCCCCCATAGACACGGAATTAACGACGCCACGACTGGAGGCGAACAAGGGTCCCCCAGACCCCCAGACTATAAACGGGAACCCTTCGCTACGCATTCGGGAAAAAACTTCTCATTTTATCAGAGTCTGCCTCTAAAAACTTCTAAATATGTGGAGCCCATGTCTTCAATGCCTTTTCAGCTTCTTCCTTCTCTTCAATCTCGTCTTCCGCCTGCATGGCCCCAGAAAATCCAAAAAACGGGGGCGCCACTGGGAACAAAACACCGCGCTAGAGCGAAAATGGCTGTGAAGCCATCACCCCTTCTGAATGTTATCAGTAGGCATTCACCCATCCCCAGGTACTTTTTGCGGAAATCATGAACAAACACTTGAGGTTGGTTATATATATATATATATGTAATATACGGACTTTTAAATATACGAACTGGTATTTTAGACTACCTCCGTCAAGGTTTTCCTTGGCCCGCCCGGCCATTTAAACATACGGAATCCAATTCATTTAAACGTACGGTATCTACATTTAAATATACGAACTGGTATTTCATACTCCCTCCGGGGCCTCGCGGTCTGGCCCGCCCTCCACATATTTAAATGTCGTTACCGTATATATATATATGCAGGGTAGGAAAACCAGCAAAACATCTATTGATTTGGTAGTAGCTACTGTTGGAACCACCGATTGCAGGGGATCTGTAACCACTCAAAAAAGAAAACCATCGTTAAACCGCACGCAAGTACAAACTCATGCGGTTTTTATGCATGTAACTGCATAGTAAACTTCCAAGTGGGGATGGCTTGCAGTGGTTGCCGTCAGAAAAACTCCTCGTTTCTGATGGAAATGCCCGCTAGGAAGCTTGGAGGCCACAGGCATGTGGCAGAACAGGCAAGCAAGTCTTGCTGGTTGGTGGTTTCAACCCACCCCCAGCTCAATGATGATCATCGTCCCAAATAGGATGGAAAACATGGATTATCGTCGAATACCAAAAAAAATTGAAAATCACCAGCCAGTCTAAGTCTTAGCCCAGCGCCAATCGTTTCTTGATGTTTTGTTGGCTGCTGGAACTAGGCAGCGGTCCGGACCTCGTCCACATCCTTTTGGATGTCCGCCACCTGTGGCTACGACCATGGATGTCATAGATGCCATCTTTACCACCCATAGTTTGATGGTTTCAATATGTTTCAATCCCCATAGAAATGGTAAATTTGGGGGATGCTGGATTCCGTTTTTGCTGGCCACTGACATTAGTACAGGAAATCTTTCTGCACAGTAAATTTGAGAAATAGTTCCTTTGGGGAAATCCTGCTATACAATTGGATCTATTCATAGGGTCCCTTACTGCGGAGTTACTTCCGAACCATGGGATCAACGCGGAATTCACAGAGGTCCCCTCGGTCCCAATGGGAGCCCAGGACCCCTGAAGAACTCGAAGGTATAAGAATATCACAATCACAACAGCGCATACTTTTGGTGGGAATTGGATAAGCCATCATTCTACTCTGAAACTTAGCCTAGCTGCCCTAGCTCACCTTCCAGAAATTCCAGCCATTCTCATGTTCATACGCAAATCATTGGATGCACCCCAATTGGACATCACCTTCCCCAAAAAAAACAAAAATCAAACAACCCCAACCTGTGGCTTCCGATCACCATTCCCAGGTCCGCCTTGACTGATGGTTCCTTTTCCAAGGTGGATTCCACTTTGCCGCCCAACTTTCCCATCGCCGCCGCAATGCCCAAGCCCTGGGCGAAGAAATTGCGACAGATCGGCAGATCATGGCAGATCGAATCATCGGATCATCCCCAGGGACAGACGGTTTAAGATGGTGTATACACTATATATATATAGTGTATATATATAGTGTATATATATACACTATATACTATATATACACACTATATATACACTATATATATATTATATACACTATATCTATTAGAAACCTCAGAAAACTTCAGCCGTAAACTTTTTTCCAAAGTTGAAGAGTTGAACGTCCGGGCCGGTGGCCTCGGGTTTCTCCTTTTTTGGCGCCGGCTTCTCGCCCTTCTTGGGGAGCTTGTAGTTCATCAAGTCTTCCAACTGGCAGCCAAGCACATCGCTTGGCTAGCAGCAGAATGTTGCTGTTGCGGTAAGAAAACGAGGGAAATGGATGGGAAACTTGAAGCATCAGTGACACATCAGTGACACAGCAGTGACACATCAGTGTTTTTTTCACCAACAAACTAGGCCACAGATGGGTAGGGACTGCTTGGAGCACTGTCATGGGCAATTCCTCGGGATCACTTCACCCATGATTTCCATGGGCTTTGGGTCTTCCGGGGAAGTCATCGATTTCCAGGGAATTCTTTGCTGAAAAGAATCCTGGCTGACTACATGATCATCCAAAAATGGGACGGCACAAGTCACTCCTTCACAAGTCACTGGCTTCAAACCCTTCAAACCCACCAATTCTATCACAGCAGATCACAGCTATAGGTGTTTGGACCTCACACACACACTTTTTACTACGTCTATCCTTAGGATTTACAGAGGATTCACACTATGGTCTTATATATATATACACACAAGTTATACATATTTCTTTCCTTATTGTCGTAGCTAAAATAACCCAGCTGACCCATTCTTTCGAGGCACATCCTTCTTTCGCCGTGCCATCTCTTGCTGCAAATCAAAATCTGGGCGCAGCAACAGGCGCCACGGGAAATTCTAAAAAGGCAGCCTTAAGCCATTTACCATCTGGTTATTTAACATAGCCATGGAAAATCACAATTTTTAATAGGTAAACCATCTATTTCTATGGGCCGTTTTCCATGGCTATGTTAAATAACCAGAGGGTAGATGTATGGAATATATGGAATATATGATGAATCTACGGGATATGACACACCTAACCTGTTATTTGTTGGTTGGTTATATATTGGTGAGTTATTTGTTGATTAGTTCACCTAACTGACATATTGGTTCTCATCTACCTGGGATGCCGCAACATGCAAAAACTGGGGCAGAACACGACCAATGCGCAACCGCAAATGTTCTAACCCGCTTGAAAATGGTTTCCCATTTAGGTTGGGAAGAGGGCAGTAGTACTCCGAAATGCAAGATTTAAATCCTGTGTTTATTCTTCGGAAGTCTTGTATTTACTGTTTTTCCGCTGGGTTACAATCCCCAACAAGCCAGGTAGTATAATTCCATATGACCAATCAACCAAGGTGTTTTTGATAGCTCATTTCGCCACTGGAATTTGCAGGCACTGAATGGTTGCAAATGGTTGCACCCCGCGGCAATCCGAAGTTACATCGTCAGTTTTCTGTGGCCAAATGCCACTTGAGAGTAGATATACTTCAGTGTACTTCCGTATTTCTGTAGTGATTGCTACAACTAATCACTGGCCATCTCAGGAACCTAAATTGGAGGTACCTACCATATATATATATATACGTATATATATATATAAGACCTATGTAAGGGCTAATTTTCAGGGCATATCCCCACAAAATATGGCCAGAAAAATGGTACTAGCGTACCTCCATTTTAGGATCCTGAAATTCCCATTGAACTAACTCCATTACAAAGCTTTCACAATTCTCCATGGCAAACAGCCCCCTTTGTGACACTTGATGTTCAACCCCCCTGGTGTTCACATTTGTCCAAGGTGATCCGGTGTGGCTGGCATTGATACTCAAAGTGACTCTGTCATGATAACTTGATTCCCTATTATTTGATCCATATCCCAATATCAATATACAGTATATATATGATATGTGTATATATATATGATATGTGTATATATATATATATGATATGTGTATATATATATATACATACACAATTATACACAATTATACATACACATAAATGCGAACAATATCTTTACATTGATATCCATATCCCGGGATCCAAGGGATAACCAGCTCATGCCAAGTCCATAGTTGAAGGGTCAAGGCAAAAATTGACTTCTTCGAAGAATCAATGGAAGATGCCTCCTGTTGCTAAGGGTCTACCATTCAAAAATCCCAGTTTCTTGTAGTTTCTTGCCTGCAAAAGCGCGGTTACTTGGTCAACTACCAACAATCTGCTCGAACCTCACCAGAGTTTAGCTGCTATCTCCGATGTACATTGACGGCCTCCTAGCAGTAGACGCAGATCGGGCCTGAAATTACCCAAAATGTGATGGTAAACATCATCCACAACATCATCATCCCAAGTAGCTTGAAAAATCAAATATTTCAAAGCACCAAGCAATTGGATTTGGATTGATCATTACTTTCTGCCTAAACTAAACACCCAAAAAAATAAACAAAATGCTTGAACTCTGGCCGACTTTAATCAGCTACGCTCTTTTCATGCATCATCCAATTGTGTTCCGAGGTGCCGGTGATGTTCATGGCATGCTGCGTGTTGATCCAAAACTTGTTCTTGAAGACCTCAGGTCCGACAAGTCCTACAGGTCGGTGATGTCGACAGCTCCACGGATCACTGGTGTTTTTCTGGGATTTCCCAGCAAGGCACGTTGGAATTTGATGAGATTTCATGGTGAGATTTGGGAGATTGGAGATGGCAGCCAGAATCTAAGATATCTAAGATATCTAAGATATCTAAGGCAATCTAAGGCCCAGGGTGATCCGCGGATTCTGTTCATGTTTAGCAATGCCATGTAGGCCACCTAGGATACCAATGGCTTGCCTCAATCCTCATCAAAAAAAAAAAAACGCCCTGGATGTAACCCTCTGGTCATCTCACAAATGTCCCAAAAGATGTCCCAAGAAAAAGTGTAAAGAGATCTGCTGCGTCCGAAAATGGGACTCTCCCAGCTTTCCCAGCCTGCCATGTTGGATTTCCTCTGGATACTCGATTGCACGAGTTTGACCCCATACATTGTGGAAGAAATATACACGCTGCCCGCCCATGTCAGCCAAGCTACATACAAAATGCCTCAGCTCCCATTCTGCCATTTTTTTCTTCGGCAAATCACAATGCTTCTCTGGCTATATCTTTGTTGGGTAACTAGTTTGGGAGGCCTGGGGCTCTGCTAGTAATGGATCTGTAGCGGCTCCTGTATATAATCCATCCATCATGATTTAGGATCATCACCCTTTTGAGGGAGAAACCAGTGTGTACCATTTCCTGGCGGTAACATAAACCGGCCCTCAAAGGGGGAAAGATTTACCGATTCAAAGTCTGACACGGAGCCCAAAAATGGGGAAATCCTCCAAACCCGTTGTCGGATGTCCCAGGGATACTATAGTAACCTTTGATGGGATCGTAAACCACTTGTCAACCATCTAGGCAACAAGCTCTCTTCTTGCGCACTTGCAGGATGTAAACCCAAATTACCTCACATACCATCCATGTCTGGGATCGTCACCCAGTCTGGATAGAAACTATACACTCTGGTAATCAAACAATGCAACATTGAAATTGTGCAAAAGACAGCTACAAATAGATATACTATGATATAGTCGGGGGTCCTATTTTTGAATGCTTGATTGCCAAGTGGTAAAATCTTCAGAAAACACCAGCTAATTGTCGAATCTGAACTACCAACAAAAAGTCACAGGTGTTATACAGATCGGGCGGCGTAGACTTCCCTCACCTCCTGGAACTGTTCACTTTCCCCCCGGTTTGTCTGAAAATATGGTACAGGATGGGGCCCCCCAGTTATAAGTTGGTTTATAAACCATTACAATCGCCATTAACTATAGTTATATCTACCATAAACCATTGAATTCAGCCACTTATAAACCAACTGAACGCTATCGACTGGGGGCCCCATCCACCCAAAAATTCATACCGGGTTCTTCAAAAAAAACAGCCATCCCATGAAGTACCACACCACAGAGGTCATGCCCCCCCCGTCCCCCAATTCAATGTTGTCTTCTGAAGTTTGTGTTTGGCGGCCTTCAAAAAAAACAGCCATTTCTGTTGATGATGCTCGGCACTTCCGATCACAACATTGAAGTTGGGGGTTGCGGGGGTAAGCAGGGTATCTCTGTGGTTTCCTGTGGATGGCTGTTTTTTTTGAAGAACCCGGTGAGGCTTTTTTTTGTTCCGAGTTCAGTTTAACTGTTGTTGATATGCATGTGGATGTAGATCAGCACACATACACACACACACATCGATGCGACAACATCAGCTTCTGAAATTTACGCATTGTCAAAGCATGCGCTTCTGTAATCTGTGACAGCCCAATAAAGGTGGATGCTAAGGGCTAACCATCAGCTTGTGAAAGTTGCCCAAGATGGTTGCCAAAGCTTATTCTATATAATATGCGACAACCCCACAAAGGTGGATGCTACGGGCCACCACCACAATGTAATATCCAAGGCGCTCAGCTTCCAAAGTCTCGCCCTGCCACCTACAACTCTTGCGCCTGCCACGCTGTTTTCTACTTCCCCACTTCACGGGTGTGATTTGTATGGGCCTGCCAATGCAACGCACATGCAACACACATGCAACACACATGCAACACACATGCAACACACATGCAACACGAGCATTTTCCCTGTAAATTTCCAAGCAACGTGGCCGCGGGGGCAAAAATCTACACTTTCCATTCTAAGACCGGAGTTGGGGCTGCAAACGTCAAATCCTGCACGTTGACTGTAAATTTACAGGTAAAAAGCTCATGTTGCATGTCGTGTTGCATGTGTGTTGCATGTGTGTTGCATGTGCGTTGCATGGCAGGTGTGCAGGATAGAGCAGTCACGCTCTCAAAGTGGCGCGCCTGCCACGCAGAACGACAGCCAGTGCACCCCACGACATTGCGGAATCAGGTCGAAAAGGTGTCAAGACTGTCGCTGCATGTATTTCACTTAGCACAACCCATATTAGCACATATGCGCCCGCGCAAGCAAACAGACACACCCACACACAAACAACCGCCCAAACTGATCCCGATGCTTTCCCTGACACAGTGTCGTCATCATTCTCGCGTTTGTCTGCAGCCATGGGTCCATCCTATTGTGTCTTTTCTGAGTCCGGTGAGGCTTTTTTTTGTTCCGAGTTCAGTTTAACTGTTGTTGATATGCATGTGGATGTAGATCAGCACACATACACACACACACACATCGATGCGACAACATCAGCTTCTGAAATTTACGCATTGTCAAAGCATGCGCTTCTGTAATCTGTGACAGCCCAATAAAGGTGGATGCTAAGGGCTAACCATCAGCTTGTGAAAGTTGCCCAAGATGGTTGCCAAAGCTTATTCTATATAATATGCGACAACCCCACAAAGGTGGATGCTACGGGCCACCACCACAATGTAATATCCAAGGCGCTCAGCTTCCAAAGTCTCGCCCTGCCACCTACAACTCTTGCGCCTGCCACGCTGTTTTCTACTTCCCCCCTTCACGGGTGTGATTTGTATGGGCCTGCCAATGCAACGCACATGCAACACACATGCAACACACATGCAACACACATGCAACACACATGCAACATTTCCAAGCAAAGTGGTCGCGGTGGCAAAAATCTACATTTTCCATTCTAAGACCGGAGTTGGGGCTGCAAACGTCAAATCCTGCACGTTGACTGTAAATTTACAGGTAAAAAGCTCATGTTGCATGTCGTGTTGCATGTATGTTGCATGTGAGTTGCATGTGTGTTGCATGTGCGTTGCATGGTAGGTGTACAGGATAGAGCAATCACGCTCTCAAAGTGGCGCGCCTGCCACGCAGAACGAAAGCCAGTGCACCCAACGACATTGCGGAATCAAGTCAAAAAGATGTCAAGACAAGACTGTCACTGCATGCATTTCACTTAGCACAACCCATATTAGCACATATGCGCCCGCGCAAGCAAACAGACACACCCACACACAAACACCCGCCCAAACTGATCCCGATGCTTTCCCTGACACAGTGTCGTCATCATTCTCGCGTTTGTCTGCAGCCATGGGTCCATCCTATTGTGTCTTTTCTGAGTCCGGGTTCTTAAAAAAAACAGCCATCCCATGAAGTACCACACCACAGAGGTCATGCCCCCCCCGTCCCCCAATTCAATGTTGTCTTCTGAAGTTTGTGTTCGGCGGCCTTCAAAAAAAACAGCCATTTCTGTTGATGATGCTCGGCACTTCCGATCACAACATTGAAGCTGGGGGTTGCGGGGGTAAGCAGGGTATCTCTGTGGTTTCCTGTGGATGGCTGTTTTTTTTGAAGAACCCGGTGAGGCTTTTTTTTGTTCCGAGTTCAGTTTAACTGTTGTTGATATGCATGTGGATGTAGATCAGCACACATACACACACATCGATGCGACAACATCAGCTTCTGAAATTTACGCATTGTCAAAGCATGCGCTTCTGTAATCTGTGACAGCCCAATAAAGGTGGATGCTAAGGGCTAACCATCAGCTTGTGAAATTTACCCAAGATGGTTGTCAAAGCTTATTCTATATAATATGCGACAACCCCACAAAGGTGGATGCTACGGGCCACCGCCACAATGTAATATCCAAGGCGCTCAGCTTCCAAAGTCTCGCCCCTGCCACCTACAACTCTTGCGCCTGCCACGCAGTTTTCTACTTCTACACTTCACGGGTGTGATTTGTATGGGCCTGCCAATGCAGCGCACATGCAACACACATGCAACACACATGCAACACACATGCAACACACATGCAACACACATGCAACACGAGCATTTTCCCTGTAAATTTCCAAGCAAAGTGGTCGCGGTGGCAAAAATCTACACTTTCCATTCTAAGACCGGAGTTGGGGCTGCAAACGTCAAATCCTGCACGTTGACTGTAAATTTACAGGTAAAAAGCTCATGTTGCATGTCGTGTTACATGTGTGTTGCATGTGAGTTGCATGTGTGTTGCATGTGCGTTGCATGGCAGGTGTACAGGATAGAACAGTTACGCTCTCAAAGTGGCGCGCCTGCCACGCAGAACGAGCGCTAGTACACCCAACGACATTGCGGAATCAGGTCAAAAAGGTGTCAAGACAAGACTGTCACTGCATGTATTTCACTTAGCACAACCCATATTAGCACATATGCGCCCGCGCAAGTAAACAGACACACCCACACACAAACACCCGCCCAAACTGATCCCGATGCTTTCTCTGACACAGTGGCGTCATCATTCTCGCGTTTGTCTGCAGCCATGGGTCCATCCTATTGTGTCTTTTCTGAGTCGGTGAGGTTTTTTTGGGTTCCGAGTTCATTTTAACTGTTGTTGATATGCATGTGGATGTAGATCAGCACGCATACACACATCGATGCGACAACATCAGCTTCTGAAATTTACGCATTGTCAAAGCATGCGCTTCTGTAATCTGTGACAGCCCAATAAAGGTGGATGCTAAGGGCTAACCATCAGCTTGTGAAATTTACCCAAGATGGTTGTCAAAGCTTATTCTATATAATATGCGACAACCCCACAAAAGTGGATGCTACGGGCCACCGCCACAATGTAATATCCA